AATATTTTATATTTATGTTTTAATTTTTATTTATATTTATTTTTCTAATTTTTTTTTTCAACGTATACAATGAGTTATATAGTATCTATTCGAATATATAGATATATAATATATTTCCATAATTACAAAGTGCAATATTTTATATTATTATACATTGTTTTTTTATTATCTTATTTTTTCTTTATAAAATAGTATATAAGTAAAAAATATATATTTTAAAAAATTGAATAGTTTTTTAATGTACATAGATACTTCTAAGGTGAAACTTATAATTATAAATTGCATCCGACTATCAAATTATATAATATATTTAATCAAATCAACTGATCCATAATATTTGTTTTGAATTGTATCAATAAACTATTATTAAATTAATATAAGATCTTATTCAAAATATATCTAATAAATCTACGGTCAAAATTTCAATTTAAGCCAATTTGTAGTTAATAAGTAACAATCACTGAGTGTATAAAATTTAATTATGTTTTTGATACATAAGATTTGTTAATATATAAATATTAATCCAATGCCAAATATAGCCGAAACTAAGGTGCGTGTATGAAAGATGCACTCTAATATCAAATAAACTTTCTGTACCATACACACCCTAAACATATCAAATAAAACAAAAAAAAAATTGTACATATTGTCGGATTTAATATCAATAGCAGATAGCAGGGGCGTGTATATGAAACTTTTTGTACCACACACCATAAATGTGTCAAATAAAAAAAAAAAGAAAAATCCTACATTTTGCCGTCTTTAATATCAATAGCACATTAGATAGCTATAAAAATAACATTGGACAATAAATATCAATGGCATATTAGATAGCTAGACTAATAATATTGGGCAATAAACGCACCTCGCAATCATGAAAGATGCATGCAATAAAGTGAATCACATTTCCTCCATGGGTTGTAACCGTTTCGTACATTTTAATTAGACGAAATTTAAGTGCCAGCTGTGGCAATGCGTTCGTCAATTTTTTGATCGTCACAAAAAGGGGAGGCATTTTTTTGAAGCTTTATTCGTTGA